GTGGCTCACGCCTGTAATCCCAGCACTTTGGGAGGCTGAGGCAGGTGGATCACCTGAGGTCAGGAGTTCAAGACCAGCCTGACCAACATGGTGAAACCCCGTCCCTGCTAAAAATACAAAAATTATCTGAGTGTGGTGGCAGGCCTCTGTAATCCCAGCTACTCCGGAGACTGAGGCAGGAGAATCACTTGAACTTGGGAGGTGGAGGCTGCAGTGAGCCAAGATCACACCATTGCACTCTAACCTGTGTGACAAGAGGGAAACTCCATCTCAAAAAAAAAAAAAAAAAAAAAAAAAAAACCCCCTATAAAAAAAAAAAAAAAAAAAAAAAAGCCAATCACTAACCTGTGTTATTTATTAAACATGACAGACTGGCATGAAGTAATTACCCAATTATAAACAAAAAAACTACAATCTACCAGGCATAGTGGCTCACGCCTGTCATCCCAGCACTTTGGGAGCCAGAGGCGGGCAGATCACCTGAGGACTGAAGTTCAAGACCAGCCTGGTCAACGTGGTGAAACCTCATCTCTACTCAAAATACAAAAATTAGCCTGGCATGGTGGCACGTCCCTGTAATCACAGCTACTCAGGAGACTGAGGCAGGAGAATCGCTTGCACCTGGACAGTGGAGGTTGCAGTGAGGCAAGATCGCGCCATTATACTCAAGCCTGGGCGACAGAGTGAGACTCGGTCTCAAAAAAAAAAAAAGAAAAAAGAGCTACAATCTTAACCTCAACTTCTCATAACATCATCTCTACTTCTAATTACTCTTAACTTCGATGTGCCACCTGGTTAGCAGAAGCTGAGTGGAAGTGGGGAGGTTTATTACAAAAAGACTGTTATACCTTACACACTTCTCCCCATGAATAGTGAAGGTGTGAGTGAAAAAGACAGCAATTTTATTTATTTATTTTTTTTAAACAGGTTCTTGCACTGTCACCTAGGCTGGAGTGCAGTGGTGTGATCACTGCTCACTGCAACCTTAGCTGCCCAGGTTCAAGCGATTCTCCTGCCTCAGCCTCCTGAGTAGCTGGGACCACAGTTGTGCACTACCATGCCCAGCTTTTTTTTTTTTTTTTTTTTTTTTTTAAGAGACGGGGTCTCACTATATTGCTTAGGCTAGTTCTCAAACTCCTGGCCTCAAACAGTCCTCCCACCTGGGCCTCCCAAAGGGTTGTGATTACAGGCGTAAGCCACCACACCCTGCCAGCCATTTTAGAATAAAGAGTGAAGGTGCTACTGGGGAAATGTACTTTAAAAAACAAAGTCTTCTCTCAACCCAGAAATCCTCTCCATGAAGGCAGTAGAGAAAGAAAAGCTTTATTAATGAATAAACATTAAATGAGAATGTGATGCACATCACAGGCACTTTGCTAAGAGATCATAAAGACAGAAGGAAATTTCACCCTTTTATACAGCCAAGCAGGTACAGCCCATTCATTACATGTATGTTTTCAAGATAAATAGTCTTCAACTAAGAGAATTTGACAGCACCATTGGTCACACAGTTCATCCTAACTTTACCTGACAATTGATGTGACCACTTGTGTTACCTAAGATAATCAACTTTTTGGGGCTGGGGGAGTGTGGAAGCAGGAGTTACTTTTACAGCTTGGTGCAAGTCACTCGTTAAGATTAGGTTGTTACCCTCCCACAGAAACTGGAAGATAGGTATGCTATCTGGTGATGTTTACATTTCCCAGGTCCTTGAGAAAGACATTCCTTGGTCATAAAGCTGACAAAAGGCTGATTCAGTTTTTAAATATATATATATTTCAGGCTGGGCATAGTAGCTCACACCTGTAATCCCAGCACTTTGGGAGGCCGAGGCGGGTGGATCACCTGAGGTCAGGAGTTGGAAACCAGCCTGGCCAACATGGTGAAACCCATCTCTACTAAAAATACAAAAAATTA